AATATATATATTTTTTGTATAGTATGCAGTAGATTATTTGGCATAAACTACTGAACATGTGGTGTTTTCATGCACTGCAATAACTCTGCATTGTTGTGACTTTCTTACCACTGGCAACAATGCCAATTGTTACATTTCCTAAAGTGCCACTGTAGGCACCCAGACCACTTCAGCCGATCACCCTTAACACTGCAAGTGTAATTATTGCAGTTTTTATCAACTGAACTATTTAGCTTGCAGGGTTAAAACCTCCTCTAGTGGCTGTCTACCAGACAGCCATTAGAGGGATTTCCAGGTTTTTAGATGACTTTTGCATGAGGATCTTCAGCGTCGCCGGAATCCCCATAGGAAAGCATTGAATAATGATTTCCTATGGTGAGGTCTAATGCGCACACGGCCATTGCAGAGCCTGACCCAGCGCCGAGGGACATCAGCACTGGATTCAGGTGAGTGGTAGAAGGGGGTTTTAACCCCTTCAGCGACGTGAGATGGGGTGCAGGAGAGAGGAGGGCACTCCAGATTTCTAAATGCCAGGAAAGCAGGTTTGTTTTCCTGGCACTAGAGAATCCCTTTAAATATAATTATATTAATAATTTGAATAAATGTTGCAGCCCTATTACTGGACATTAGTTTTTTATTTTGACTACTCAGGGAAAAAGCAATGTTCACATTGCTGCCTAGGAACACCTCTAGTGGCTGTCATTCTGGCTGTTTACTCTTACTGTGTTTTCACACCAACATGTTTATATTCCTGATACTATAATGGTCTTTTAACCTTTCTTCAATGTTTGTCATTGCACACAGTACTGCAACATATGTTGCAAAGTCTGCTTAAAGGGTTACTAAATCTGCTATGCTAGCTGTCTGTTCTTAAGAAGGTTTTTACTTGCCTTAATCCAGTGCTGATCATCCACTTCCTGCCCTGATGTCAAAGGGAGCCTTGCATGGTTTAAACTATGAGAAGCAGTTTTGCTTGCTCAGAATGCATGCTCGTAATCTAAGTAGAGGAAAGCAAGTGGGAGGGAGATCCTTTTATTTATTTTTTATCTTTCATTTTATAAAAGAAAGGAAAAAAAAAAAGCCAGTTCAGGGAGGGAGGAGAGAGCTGCTTTCCCTTGCTGTCACTCTATCTGCAGATTCTGTCAGTGTGCAGTGTGTCAACAGAATTTACATTTGACAACCTGGAAAGTGTTCTCGGCTGACTAAGTCATGTGCAAGGGGTGCCACAAGCCCCCAGCACAAAATTATCAATATTTCTGTATTTGTTTCAAGCGCAAACACTGCACCTTCATACTCCTACCACCATGTGCAAGGGGTGCCACAAGCCCCCAGCACAAAATTATCAATATTTCTGTATTTGTTTCAAGCGCAAACACTGCACCTTCATACTCCTACCACCATGACCACTTCAAATCACTGAATTGGTTATGGCGGTTGGAGTAACCCTTTAAGCTAAATCATATACTAATCGACGTGGAGTCTAAGAAGCCTTTGAAGTTATTTCAAACTGTAAATGTACCATACCTTCATACAAATGTTCACCAGATCAAATTTCAGTGTTCTGTCCCAAATTTGTAGTCCTCTCATTAACGCATTACTATATTTGATCGATTTGTGTTTCTGTGACCTAGTATGCATTTCTTTCTTTTATTTGACCTTTAGTACATTCTATAAAAATAGTGCTTTGGCACTTTATACCTAGCTTGAAATGTAACTGTTTTTTACTGTTAATGTGAGTGGCAGATCAGAGCTACTGCTTCTAACTGCTCTATCCATTTCTAAGAAAACTCTTGTCTTTTTTGTGGCTTTTTTTTTTTTTTTTTTTTTAATACCATATGTGTGTATTATAAACATGTTGCTTAATAATTTGGCATATACGAATACTTAAAGGACACTGTAGTCACCAGAAAAACCTTAGCTTAATGAAGCAGTTTTGGTGTATAAATCAAGCCCCTGCTGTTTACTGCTCATTTCTCTGCCATGTAGGAGATAAATCACTTTGTTTATGGAACTCTAGTCACAATTTCCTGCATTTAGTATGCACAGCCTTCCTAAACACTTCCTGTAAAGTGGGATCTAATGTTTACACTTCCTTTATTGGACAGTCTGTTGGTTAATTAAACAATTTTTGTTTTCATGTAGGCTGTGTAAGTCATAGCCAGGGGACGTGTGGCTAGGGCTGCATAAACAGAAACAAAAGTGGTTTAATGCCAAAATGGCAGGGAAATGAGCAGTGAAACTTCAGAGGCATGATCTATACACACAAACTGCTTCATTAAGCTAAAGTTCTTTTGGTGACTATAGTCTCCCTTTGAAAATGCATTTCATTTTCTTTCCATATAACCTACATATTGATTAATATAAAACAAAGACTAATACTTATTTCAAGTTTTAGATTAAATTGTACTGCTCAAATTTTCTTTAGTTTCCACTCCCACAAATTTCTTAAAGGGAAAATATTCTTTATTCCAAAAGCATGCTCTGTCCAATGTGATATTTACTGTTCATTACTGTGGGATGTTACAATGCCTATGAGGTTGAAATGTGAACGTATTCTTTAAGGTAAAAATATCATAGATGCCAAATGAAGAGCAAATGCTTGATGTTAGTAATACTGAGACATTCCCAATGGAGGTTTTACAACCAATTACCTTATGGAGGCAAACTTTGATTTCACAGTGGTGATGTGCTTAAAAGTATACTATATATAATACAAAGCTGTATTCCTGGCACTAGAGCTCCTGCTCCCTCGCATTCTCACCCTGGTGAATAAAAAAAACTTTATTTACTTACCTGATCCTAGCGCCGATGTCATTAGGAGCTGGGTTGACGCTCTGCCCCTTCCGCCATCTCGCAATGGACAGGGGCTAATGCGCATGTGCTGCAAATGTTGTGTGCGCATTAGACCTCCCCATAGGAAAGCATCTTTTTCCAATGCTTTCCTTGGGGGAAAGATCTGACGCTGGATGTCTTCATGCAGTGTCAGGTACTGTACCAAAGGTCCGTTTCAATCCAGGAAGCCTTCTAGTGTCTCAAGTGTCTCTTCTCTGGCACGGCAATGTTTTACATTGCAGCACTAAGTGCAAAAACAAGGGGCTGGCTGCACTCTCTTTGTCAGGTCATTTGGCTGTTAGAGTAGGACCTGCCAAAGATGGGCTACATTGACGTGGCAGACTTGTGCAATGTATGTTCATATATTGTAACTAAACACCCATTATTTTTTGCCTAGATTAGGTGTTTAAAAAATAAATAAATAAATCTGTCAGCACCAAAGTTGCTGTTTAGTAGATAAGGGAGTGCTCTGGATTTTCATTTTTATTGCAGCACTAAGAGAAACACTGTACCCAGGCCACTTCAATGAGCTAAAGTGGTCTGGGTGCCTATAGTGTCCCTATAAAACACGTGCTAAGTGAGCCACCAATTAAACAGGAGATTTTAATCTCTCAACATAAATTTTTAGTAGGACATGAGCAATGAAATTCTCAGCTAAAATAGTTGATATAAATTGGTTCAATCAGTACTAATAACATTTTTTTTTTTTTAAAAGACTTCTATTGAGAAAGATACAGAGAAGGGTCACATCATTGTTCTGCTACCATATTCATGTTTGCATGATATTTTTGCAGACTGATATATTTTAGTTTAACATACTTCTTGTCTTCTGTAATGCAAGTTCACTTCATGTTAGACTGCAGTCCGTGGATTTATTGGCATGTGGTTGGCATTTTCTCTTGAAGCATGTTGTTTGTTTTTTTTGTCTGCATAGTAAGTGTTGTGTAGTATGTTACTTTATTTCCTTTAAGTTTGTGATCAAGTGTAGTCATAGCACAGAATATTTGCATTACATGCCTTCGTTACTCTCTTCTATTCTGTCACTAAACAGATTTGTGCTTATCTGAGGTTTATATGTATAACAGGTGTTCATGGGACTCCGTTTAAAGCAAAGGGCATCTTACACATCTACTCTTCAATAACTGACCACAAAATAAGGTGGCGGTAGAGTTGTCATTCTAAAAAAATATCCAAATATTCCTCAGACATAGCTCATTTCTCCTCCATTTATGATCATTTGGAAGTTTACACAAAACTGTAATGGAAACTTCCATGTTTTTTACTTTAAGAGACCTCCCTTTGATTTCATGGTTGTTGAGTTTGTGCTTCCTGGTGCTATTTATAAAATGTCAACTTTTTTGTCTTGCAGGTGCTGTTGTTTTTTCAAGCGAAGGAAAAGGAAAACTATTCAACGTCACAAATGACTCTGGAAAAGGGCAGACCATGGGGAATTACTTACTTGTTCATCTGCTGTCTTGTGATATATAAAAAAAGATCTTTGCAATGACTACGCCCCTTACAGAGTATCATGTTCCCATGACATAGTTTTGGTTGTATTACATTATTTGATGTTTTTATTTCCTCCAGATGTCCATCATTTAGAAGCTTTAAAATTTTTTTTTGTCAAAATAGGATTGTTTAAATGGACCAATGAAGTGGTACAAACCCTAAATTACAACCTTCAACCAAAACGCAGTTACACCACGCTGGAAACTGCAAAATGTTCATAAATTGAAATTGCTGTGAAAATGCTCTCTTCAAGCAATCGGTGGATAAAGAAAGACTGCTTAATTGCTTAATGCTTTAAAATAACACACTAAGTCTTACCATTTGGAGATTCACAGTCTTTGATATTGGCAATGTTTTACAGTATTACTGAAAATGGTACTGCGATAACCCTTTGCATACCAGAGAGGTAGGCAGGATATCGCATGGCAAAGTCTATCTGGTACCAAAAGGGGTTAGGAAATTTAGAGCATTACCTTTCTCTGATGTCACATGGTACAACCACTGCCCAGAGGTACCAATGAACAGAGCCTGTCTGGAACCTGACTCAGATTATCAACAACCGACAGCAGCCAGTAACAGGACTCTTAAGATATATATATATATATATATATATATATATATATATATATATATATATATATATATATATATATATATATATATATATATATATATATATATATTTAGCCTGCATTTCAGCTGTCATCGTGATAGAGCAGAGTAGAAGCAGGCAGACAAAAATCCTAAATGTATACACTGTGACATGTGCTTCATGGTAATGTGGTTAGATAATAAGAAGTGATATGCTCTCCAAATCAAGGAAATATTTAGCAGATGTTAGAGGAAGAAGAAAAAAGTGAAACACTACATGTAGGTGATTGGGGATAAAGTAGTCTTGGAATATGTAAATGGTAGCGGTGCATACTACTTGCTACACTGAAACATCCTATTCCGTTAACTAAACTTTTTGGATATGTCACCTGTTTGGTGTGAAAAATAATTTCTCCTTGGCTAGAAGCAGCTACTTTGATTGATGCTTCACTGTGCCATGTATGCATACAATTAGTAGGTGCTTTAGGACTCATTCTCACCTTTTCGTGGGCTGAACGTAGCAATTGTAGTAGAAAATGAAGAAAAGCATTATCCAGACACTCCCCGCTCGTCTGTCAGTCATTTGAAATGTTGTATGGATAAGCAGATGTTGCACAGACAATGGGGCACATTTCTTTTCTGCAATTGGTGTCCATTAACCAACCTCCGAATTTCTACAAAGATCAGCGAGACTGTTGTGACGCAGATCTTGGGAGGGGTTAAGCCATGATAACTGATTGTCATGTTGTAAAACTGGCCTATATTTTCTAGAGAAATGCTGAAGGGAGGTGACTAGAACAAATATTTTGACCAAACTATGGTAAATTTATGTACAAAGGAAAAAATCCAAAAGTCTCCTGGATTGAATTTGTAATTTTTTTTTCTTGTCTATCAGTGCACGCCCTATGGCTAACTTATTTATTTTTTAAGTCTGGTTTGTGGTAACATTAAAAAAAATGTGTATTTCAAATAGATAAATGCACATCTTTCAGTTCAATATTGCATTTACAGGGATTTTAATTGTAATTTGTAATTTATTTTGTTAACAACCAGGAGTGCAGTGCTTAATTTGGATGATTTTTATGCACTCATAAAACTCAGAAAAAAAAAGCTGATCTGTTTTTTGTTTTGTATTTTATTTTCCTTTTTCTGTGTTGCTGTAAGTTCTTTTTTTCCCATTGGTCAAATACACAAATTCACCCTTTCAAAATCATTTACTCACATGTCTGTTCTGACATCCTCATTCTGCCTTTTTTGTGTTATTGTCTTAAACAGAAAATAATGGTATATGCATAAATATATATATTTTTTTCATTATGGAAGATGAGAGTTGTGGCCATCCAAATGTGAAATCACTTCTGTCTCTGCAGTATTTGACCAAATTATGTTGCACCATATTGTAAATACATGCAGCAACTTGTGTTTCTTATAATACATTTGTTGATTTGGTTTCTCTGTAGACCTTTTTATTTTATTTGTTTTGTTTTTTTGGCGGGGGAGAAGCGGTTTGGCCTGTACAGTGTTTATATGATCTGGACTCATAACACATAACAAGAAAATGTGTATATTAAACCAGTTGTGGACTTCAGATATTTAAAATACAGAACCCTTTATTTGCTGCAAAGACCAGTATGTAGACATTTTGCTTTTTAGCAATATTTAAGTGCTCCATTTACTGCCTTGGAGGGTGGAGGGGGGTGGATTAGTCCTCCTTGGCAGCACAAACTGGTCAATAATAGGTAATGCAGGTATGTTCAGGTTAAGCCAACAATGTTTTGCATTTATATGCTTTTTTCCTGTCTATACTAATGAAGTCAACATTGCCTGAATGTTAAACTATTGAATTACATCCCTGTTTAAAAGTATGTAACTGAAGAAATAAAAAAAAAAATAAAGGTAGTTTTTTTTTAACTTGCTTTTGTTTACTTTGTTAGTGCTATGTTTCTTAGGAAACATAACAAGACATGAAACCTTTTCTAATCAATTCCAGTGTTTACACAGAGGCAAGTACCTTTGCAAAATTTGTCTAAAGAATCTAAACATACTAGAGAGACTGCACTGCAAACATAATTGTTGAACTTTCTCTTATGTGTGTGTGTATGTATGTATGTATATATATGTGTATATATATATATATATATATATATATATATATATATATATATATATATATATATATATATATATATATATATATATATATATATATATATGAAGGCGTAACCTGAAGTTGGGGGAGGGGTTACCCGGCTATTTAAACTCAGGCCCCCTACACCACAGGACTGATGCTGCCTGGTTAATTTCTACTTCCGGTTCAAAGGTCATCAACACAGACCGCCTAAAACTCCAAATAAGCTGGTCTGGGCGTACTGTGGCTCCCACGCCGATCGGACCAAGTTTTTCCCTGCTCCAACAACTCCCATCCTGCTGTTCCAGCCATATGCGGTCAGAGACTCCTACGCCGATTGGTCCAAGTTCTCCCTGCTCCAACAACTCCCATCACGCTGTTCCAGCCACACGCAGTAAGAGACTACTCACCTCCTCTCCAGAACTGGCCGTTCGTTCCCACCGGCGCTATAAGACCCCTTACCGGCTTTCCAGGCCTCTTCCTGGACCAAACCTCCGTGTCCACCAAGTCTGGGTACTTTCCAGCCACATAGCTGACCTCTCACCTCACCGCAAGCTTCCGGGTCAAGTCGTTTGTTTTCTGTACCAGTCAAATCCTCGAACCGTGAGTCTGCCTGTACGGGCCAAATCCATGAATACACAATTGTTCACACTTTTATGTTCTTACATACCGTCCATTCCGGACTTTTTCCTGTACAGGACTTAAGTCAGTTCACCTACTCCTGCCTGCTCTTTGTTCCATTCCTATTCGCTAGTTTCTTTTCGTCAAATTTCTACCGAACTAGTCTCCAGTCTATATCAGCTAGCGGCCACCACAACCATAGTACCAATTCGTTAGTTTTACACTGTTCCCTGATACATGAATGTCCAGGTTCTTTTTTTTGAAAGTATTTAGCCTGCTACTAGTTATCCTTACATGCCCCCTGTAGTTTGGTTATGTTTGCTATTTTTCTTGTTATTTACGATTGTGCACGTATATTGTCAGTTTCCCATTACTAATTCAGCTCTGGTAAGCGTTTAACCCCTTCAGGACGGAGTCAATAGTGCACGTTCTGATCATAACAAAACGTAAACAAAAACTGGAATCTGCGCTATATGTCTGTTCAACCGTAATCACATTAGGTGCACCCACACTTATTATATATCATATTGTTCAGGAGAAACAGGGCTTTAATTTATCATTAACTTTTCATGTATGGAACATAACTTATTATGAATAAAATTAAAAAAAAGTGAGAAAATATATATATTTTTTTTAAATTTGTATTTCCGTCTGACATTTTAGCTGTGAATGTCATAATACTGTTAGGTTTTACTGCAAAAAAACTGCACATATTTGTAATCAGCGATGTCTCACAAGTACAACAGTACCCCCCATTATGGTGTTTTATGGTGTTTTGGAAAGTTACAGGGTCAAATATAGAACGTTCCATTTTCAAATTGAAATTTGCCAGATTATTAATGTTACCTTTGAGGCGGTGTGGTAGCCCAGGAATGAGAATTACCCCCATAATGGAGTACCATTTGAAAAAGTAGACAACCCAAGGTATTGAAAGTGGGGTATGTTTAGTCTTTTTTTTTAGTAGCCAATTAGTCACAAACACTGGCCAAAGTTAGTGTTCATATTTGTTTTTGTGTGAAAAAAGCAAAAAACTTATATTTGGCCAGTGTTTGTGACTAAGTGGATACTAAGAAAGACTGGACATACCCCACTTGCAATACCTTGGGTTGTCTACTTTTGCAAATGGTATGCCATCATGGGGGTAATTCTCATTCCTGGGCTACCATACGCTCTCAAAGGCAACATAACCAATCTGGCAAATTTCATTGTCAAAAAAATGAAATGCAAGCCTTATATGTGACTCTCTAACTTTCCAAAACACCATAAAACCTGTACTATTATTTTCGGGAGACTTCACTAAACACAAATATTAGTGTTTTAAAACAGTAAAACATATTACGACAATAATATAGTCCATAAAAGTGCAGTTCGTTTGTAAAAAAAAAAATGCAAAAAACTTTACTTTTACTTAAAATATCATCGTTGTAATACAATTGAAGATTATGCTAGCTTTAGTGTACTAATAATCTTAATTTTAATAAGGACAGGAGGCGAGCATTTTGCATTAACTCTCTTTACTAAACTCCACAGCAGTAAAGAAAACGTAAAGAGTAACAAATAAATCACTGAGCAGCATAGTATATAAGGGTCATGCTGCCTGTACACTTCCTCTTTCTTGAAGCGACATCCAAGTCCAGATAGAGCTCGAACATCCAGAAACTCAACGAAACTGTAACTGCGGTCTCTGGCGAGCGGAACTTGAGGAGACTCCTGGTAACGAGATAGGAGGTAAGACCAAAGAAGCCGTCATCCCATCTTACGGAGCCGTGAGGTTAACAAACCAGCGACCAGTGGAGGTCCTGAAGAGGGTTACACTGAAAGGAGAGTATAAAATCGGTTAGGTAATGAACCGTAACTGTTCACGCCTGTGGGCTTTAACAGAATGGTGTAAATTAAATCAGTACAGACAAATTGAAAGCTGGCCAGAGGCTAAATATGTGAGGTGTAAGCATGTTGTACAACTAAAACTGTCCGTCTAGGTGGCAATACTAGGGAGAGAGATGGAAGAGATTCCGAATATGTCCTTGTAACGGCTACCCTGGTGTAGAGAGGGTACCAGCCGTTAGGGACGTCCTTTTCTCCCTGGCAGTCACTGTGTAGTGATGGAGTCGCCTATTCCCTTCTGCTGGATCAGGAGTGGAAGCCAGGTGCAGCTCTAGAAAGAGCTAAGTGATTAAGCTGCAGAGATTCCCCTTTCAAGAACGAGACAAGGCTACGTTTTGAAGGATCAAGAAGAACTGATGTTTAATGACACACACTCTGCTTTTATGAGATTCTGCCCATGCAAGGGAGACACCCACATAATTAGCAGAGTAACCAATCCATGCAATATACATTCGGTAAATTCCCTCCCCTCAGATAACCACATAACATAATTAAAACGGAACAGTTTTCCCCCAAATAGCTTATAGTTCAGGTACCAACATGTGAAAAAATCAGCTCAATCGGTTCAGCCGTTCGGGAGATATAGGACTTAGAAGTTTTGACCGACTGCACGGGTACAGTAGCCGAAAACAGTTCCATGAATGCTGGCCCTGTAGTCGGTCTAAGAACTTGGGTAAAAACTCCCGAACGGCCGGCCATCCGTATACCATCCTGGGTTCGCTGAAATCTGCTGTTAATCCTTTCTACCGAACGCCCGGTCGTTCGGTAGATTTGGTGATATTTTCCCAAGGTATGGAGGTCTCAGCGGTGTTCGAGTGTCCGATTTTAGTTCCAGACATTCATCGGCAAACACCGCTGTTCGGGAGTTAAAATGGCCGCGAACACGTGTAAGTCCCGAAATGGCGGCTGAGCTTACAGTTCCCATAGCGTTCGTGCGGTTGATTCAAATACAATGCCCATCAACCAGGGAGGTAAATTGGCCATAATTAACAGTCAGGGTGGCCTGTTAAGGCAGGTAAGCATTCGCATGGTGACTGCTTACAAAAATACCGAACGGCTGTATAATCCATTTGTCATTTTGCAGGCATACTGGGTTTGTTGTTACAGTCCTGAAGATAGAGAAACTACTAAAATCAATCCCAATATCCGTCACCTTAAGATCCACTCCCCCAAGGAGTCGGGGTAGGGAACAGAAGGGAGGGAAAATACTCGCCTCCTGTCCTTATTAAAATTAAGATTATTAGTACACTAAAGCTAGCATAATCTTCAATTTTATAACATGACAGGAGGCTTCCTATTTTGCAATTTTAACACTGAAGAAGAGACATCCCAGCAGAAGGGGGAGTGCGAAAATAAAACGTACGGAAAGTGGATTCCCTAGACCAGTCCGCCGTTCGGAGAATATCCGAAAGGGACGCCCCTGCCAGGAAGGCTGATGACGCCGCCGCTCTGCGAACGGAGTGGGCGCCAAATGCGGGGTCCATACCTGTGAGGGAAAGGATCCAGCGGATCCATCGTGACCGAGACTGGGGCGTGAGGGCGTACGTAGGAGACTAGGAGTTGGCCCGACGTAGAGGACCGGAGTGAGGAAGTAACCGAAACATACCTGCGGAGGGTGGACACGACACAGAGCTGCGGGTCGTCGTGAAAAAAGGGGTAAAAGACTGAAGTCGAACCCGACGGGAAATGTGGAACGTGACCCCTTCAGGGGCCACCTCGAAAGCATCCACGTCGAAGGCCCGAACATCCGAAACCCATCGGAAAGATACTAGACAAATGAGGAAAGCGCACTTAGCGTATAGTTGGCGTAGGGAGAGGCGGTCATTCAGAAGCCAATCCCTGAAAAAACTGAGAACCAGTCCCACATCCCATAGGTGAGGGTATCTGGGGGCCTGGGGGCGGCGGAGCCGCATACCACGGAGTAGGTGGCAGACCAGAGGGTCTTTGCCGACCGGGAGATCCCCGACGGGGGTGTGAGCCGCTGAAATCGCGGAGCGAATGACGTTGACCGAACGGTAAGAGCGGCCAGATGAGAACAAGGAGGAAAGAAAATTAAGAATCATGGGAATAGGTGCTGTAAATGGATCGGAGTCCCGTTCCATGCACCAAGTAGACCAGGAGGCCCAAGCTGAAAGGTAACAGCGTCTAGTTCCCGGGGCCCAAGAGTCCCATAAGAGGTCCCTAGCAGCCTGCGATAGTCCGCTGACTCGCCAGGAACCCCGGAAAGAGACCAAGCCACCAGGAGGAGTGGGTGGAGATACCCTTTGGGATCCGTGAGTAGGTCCGGGAAGGATGGCAGGAGGAGAGGGTCCCTGTAGGAGGAGGCCAGGAGGTCCGGGAACCATGGTTGGCTCTGCCACAGGGGTGTTATGACAACCAGTTTGATCTGTTGCGTCCGCATCTGGTGTAGTGTTCTCGCAATCATGGAAAATGGGGGAAAGGCGTAGGCTCCTGTCGTCGGCCATTGTTGGAGAAATGCGTCTGTCGCCTTGCTGTCCGGGTCCGGGAGCCAGCTGAAGAACTCCGGGGTCTGGTGATTGTTGCAAGAGGCGAACAGATCCAGGTGAAAGGGACCCCTCCGGGCTGTCAGGGCCCTGAAGATTCTCGTGTTTAGCTTCCAGTCGCTGACGTCTCTCCAGTGGCGAGAGAACCAGTCGGCTGTGAGATTGATTTCTCCCGGTAAGTATTCCGCCTGTAGCGTGATGTTGCGAGGGAGGCAATAGTCGAAGATGTCCCTCGTGATATCCGACAGCAGGCGTGAGCGAGCGCCTCCCAGACAGTTGATGTACTGGACTGTGGATACATTGTCCATGCGCAGGAGGATGCAGCAGTTGGATCTTTCCCGGGCCAAGCTGCGGATCGCAAAGGATCCTGCCAGGAGTTTCGAGGCAATTGATGTGCATGGAGAGCTCCTGCGCTGTCCATGTTCCACCTGTGGAGATGGTTCCGTTGGTGGCACCCCATCCCCACAGGCTGGCGTCTGATTCCAATACGAAGTGTGGGGTGTCTCTGAATATGGCCTTGCCGTTCCAGGCTTGCATGCTGTCCAGCCACCATGATAGTTCCTCGTGAACCTCCGTCGTCACCGGGACGGGTTG